AATCCATACTTTGAACTCACTTTGTCTTTTCTCTAAATCATCATCAACAACAACAACAACAGAACTTTTTCTTCTTTTTACAGAGAGTGACATTTTGTATTTTTCTGTTCAATGATATCCTTTTTAGATGCGTGACCAGAATTCCATCTGTATAATTTTTCAATAATGGCATACCATAATTTCACAAAGTAGGCATTGGAATACAAACAAAGATTGGAGAGTAGTTATCCAAAACTCCTACATCTAAGAATGGTCTCTTCAGAAAGGGGTACAACCCTTCTCATAAAACAGTAAATCATTTATTTAAATATAAAAATACATGGATGTTATGTAGTAGAATGATGCATACATGTATATATTGTTGAATGATTATGTGACTCATTGATTAAAAGAGTCTCAGGAATAAACTGCATTTCAAACAGCCTAACCAACAAAGATACTATGTGAAAATAATTGCTTTTTTAATTCATCCTCTACAAGCATTATATTTTCAACAACTATTGACTAAGCATGAGTTGCTGGGTACTTTTTGCCAAATAATACAATGGCCTGTGTCTACAATGAAATACAGTAGTTACAAGCTATTCTTTTCCTTATGAAAGAAAGGGATTCTACTGGCCACTTAAGCAGCTGGAGAGCACAGGAGTTCATCTATCAAGTACAGCTGATGAATTGCTTCAAGAAAGGAAGTAAAGGAAGAGTTCACTGCGGACAAACCAAAGAATCCATTCCTGCCATCATTAGCAGGCTAATGGAGTGTGTCATGACTTTGCTAGCACTATGGGACAAATCTCCATGGCTGTAAAACAAAGACATAAACTCAGGTATTAGGGATCAGTTTTGGCATAGAATGGTTGTTTAGATTGGGGCCTTTGAAAGGTCCAAAGGAGGATAGGATGGAACCATGACTCAGATTCAAAGGTCACATCTTTGGGAAGGTCACAAAGAAACATGGAAGGGATGATCTTGCCATACTCTCATTTCCTTTCTTAATTTGAGATCATCTTGAAAAAATATAGGCATCCTTAGGGGGCTGTGGGCAGTTTTGGAATTTTAAAAACCACTCTCATACAAGAACTACCATAGTGGAAGCAGCCAGTACCAAGACACCTGTTTTCTTCTGCCTCCTCCCCTTGATGTTGCCTATGAAACCCAGCAATTTTTCTCTCTCTCTGGGCTAATAATCATGCTTCCAGACCAAGCGTTTAGCTGCAATGATCTGCACTTTTTCTCTCTTAAGAATGCCTATGGGGAGCCCAGAAGAGCTCCTTGAGATAAAAGTGATGTTGGAAGCTAGTGCTTTGTAGCTTACCAGCTTTTAAAAATTATTTTTAAATAAATAATACATTTTTAAAAAAATAAGAGGCTCTTAAAAAATAATGTCAGGCATTACAGGTAGGGCAGTCAAGAAGACAGAGAAAGGAGAAGGGGGAAAGAAGGGGGAGAGGAAAGGAGAAAAAATAGGCAGACAGAGGAAGACGAGAGATTCTTAATGTAGCACAATCTTTCATGCTTTCATTCAAAGACATTGATATAATATTCAATTTACAGATAATAGAAGGGGGTAGCCTTAATGTAAAAGGGACAGTCATGCTAATATCTCCACCAGACCATTGTAGGAAGGACATCCATCCAACAAACAATTAATTATACAGACACTGGAGCTAGTATAGAAGAGTAGCTGTGTGCATGTATAGGGGTTTTGTGTGTGTGTGTGAGTAGAAATATGTGATTAATGTGCAAACATTAGGACTAACTAAGGGACATGATGGCAGAAGGTGATTCAGGAATACAGCCTTGCTCCTGCTTTAAATCATAAGTACCCTATATGCAATTCATGTGTGAATGAAGTGGATTTAGATACAAGAGACATTGTAAGTCACTTTAAGTGACTATGTAATTATAGAACTGTGTCAATCTGATCAAATTCAATTTGAATTGATTTAAATCAGATTGTCAAATCAAGTCAGTCTAATTTAGACAGTTCATTTAGAAGAAAGGCTTTCTCCACAGAAAGACATCCAAGTCTTGGATCAATTTGGAAGCAGACAATTTGATTTGATTATTCAATAAGTCAGTGCTATTTGTGGACTTGATCAAAACTTTTCAGATCAAATCTCTGAGCTGAATCTTTGCATGGACTTAATAATAAATAATGTACTTATGGAAAGCATATGATTTAGACTTGCATGCGCCAACATGTATATTAGGGATAAGTGAGGTGGCCATAATTTCCTTCAACAAGGTGTTTTGTGCTATGATGGTGATGCTATTTGCCTCATTAAAATGTAGTCCCCATCCCATGGAGGTGCTTTACATTACTCCAAGGTGAGGTGGCCATAATTTCCTTCAACAAGGTGTTTTGTGCTATGATGGTGATGCTATTTGCCTCATTAAAATGTAGTCCCCATCCCATGGAGGTGCTTTACATTACTCCAAGGTGAGGTGGCCATAATTTCCTTCAACAAGGTGTTTTGTGCTATGATGGTGATGCTATTTGCCTCATTAAAATGTAGTCCCCATCCCATGGAGGTGCTTTACATTACTCCAAGGTGAGGTGGCCATAATTTCCTTCAACAAGGTGTTTTGTGCTATGATGGTGATGCTATTTGCCTCATTAAAATGTAGTCCCCATCCCATGGAGGTGCTTTACATTACTCCAAGGTGAGGTGGCCATAATTTCCTTCAACAAGGTGTTTTGTGCTATGATGGTGATGCTATTTGCCTCATTAAAATGTAGTCCCCACCCCATGGAGGTGCTTTACATTACTCCAAGGCTTCCTCCATTTTATTCTTTTGGTAGTACTAAAATTGGATCTTGGGAAAACTGGATATGGAAGAAAAGGAAACAAATTACAGGGAAAATAGAATGCTTTCAGGAAGAGAAAGTATGAGTTCCATGTGAAAAATAATAAATAGGTTACTCTCCCAACAAAATGAATAGAAAGTGAATATAAGGAAAGAAGATATAGAAGTCACTTGGAGTAAAGTGAGAAGAATTCTATTGTAGAGGACCACAGAAATGTTTGGAGTTACACTAAGTATGAAAAAGAGTGATTGGTGGAAGGATGAAGCAAAAGACATTGTCAATGAGAAAAAATGCATATAAGGCAATGATTGCTGCAAAAAATGAGGATAAGGAAAATATAGTGCATAATGTGTTTAGTATTATACCAAAAAATGATTGAAGAGATTGTAATCAGTGAAAAGCAAGCCCCAAATGTGAGAATGTTGAACAACAGTAAGTCTGCAAGTATAGATGGTGCAGCTGGAGAAATGTTAAAATATTAATATTAAATATTCATAATACCCATGAAGTAGTTGGAAAAATGTTATTGTTTCCCTATACAAGGAGAAGGTACCAAGACCAAATCAAAACTAAAAGGGATTAGTTTGCTAAGCGACCCTGAAACGTATTTGGCAGATTTCTGATTGAAAGGATATGAGAGAAGACAATTAGCAAAATTAGCAAAATCTCATGTACAATGTAGTTTTATTCTAGGCAGCACATTTTTGCTGTTCAGTAGATTGTTGAGAAATGTATGAATATGAGGAAGAAAATGTATTGTCTATTTCTTGATTTTAGAGAAAACATGATAAAGAGAATAGGCCTGAATTATGGAAAATTTTATGTGAATGTGGAGTTAAAAGTAAGTATGCATGAAAACAAACGGAATGTTTAGTGCGTGGTTCAACACTGAGCAGGGTATAAGTCAAGGATGTGTGATGTATTTATGGATCAATGTATAAGGAAGGCTTGTGATGATATTAGAAGAGATTAGGTTGGGGATGTGACGTGTGTGTACTTTCGTGTGCAGATGATGCTGTCACTGAGAATGCAAATGATTTGTAGCAAACGTAGATAGTTTGCATAATGATCTGAAAATCAGTCTATCGAAGACCAAAGTAGTTGTCTTTGATCAGGGAAATGGAGCAAACTATTGCAAGTCATATGTAAATAGTAAAGTCTAGAGAAAGTAGATTTTATGTACCTTCATAGAATGTTTAATAAAGATAAGGAAATGGTGGATAACTTTTAAGGCATACAAATGCTGGCAGAAAAGTAGTGTAGTTATATGCTGCTATAGCAAGGAACATTTGTTGTTGTTGAAAGAAGTGAAAATGGTTATGTACAGTGGTATGCTTCTGCCCAATTTGTTTTATGGAAGTGCAAGTTTGAGTAAGACAGAAAAAATATAAGAATAAGTTGAATGCAGGGGGAAGGCGGTACTTAAGAAGTGTGTGTGGTAAGAGATAGGGTCAAGAATGATTGGGTGCTGAACGAATGTGGACAGAATACAGAAATGAGCAATCACGATGGAAAAAAATGTGTTAAGATGCCTTGGAAATATAAAGAGAATGAATAAGGATTGGATTACAAAACAAATATATGAAGAGTGAGTGAGTTGGGAGGAAGAAGAAAACCAAGAAAGTTGTGGGTTGGAAGGAATTGATGAGATCCTAAAAAAGAGAGATGTGAGAAGTTTAGAAAATAAAAGCCAGGGTATACAGTAAATGGTGTATGGACTCAGTAGAAGCAAGGATGCTTTGCAAGGATATAAAGTATGGAGCGGTATAATAAATAGGGTTGGTGTAAAGTAGTTTTAGCTATGTTTCTTCTTTTTTCTTATCTCATGCTTTCTAATTCCCTTGGTTTAGTATTTCTTATACCTTCTGTGCACTCAGCATAACATTACTTACCCTGAAAGAGAACAGTGTGATGGGTATGCATGTACAAAGGTCGATAGGTAAGTAGATCTCTTTATTTTTAAAAAAAGGAACATTCTTTGCAAAGTTGCACCAAAACTAATTCGCAAGTTATGTTGTGTTAGCTGCAACTTTGAAGAGATCATTGAAAAATATTACAGACAAGAGCATTTAATTTAGAGGAGCAGGGTCTGGGGTTGCTTTTCTTTGCTTCGGTTTGATCTTGCAGGAAGGAAAATAGATGCAGGTGTATTGAGCTGCTGATAAGGGGGCAGTGAAAAATGGTTTCAAATAACATTAATAGATTCTGCTTCTTAATAAGAATGATAGGTTGCTTCAAAAAAAGTGCCAGTCATGAAGCAATGCCTAGCAGTGTATTTTATATCTATATTGGAATCAGCATTACAAAGCAAGCCATATATAATATTCAGAACTAAATATAATATGTGGGATTGATTATCAAGGAGAATCTGACATGAGTTATTCTACTGTACACTGAATAGTACTTATGCACTACAATGGCAAAAAACTGTTGAAGTGAATGCTTCCAGACCTCAGCTCTTCTGAACAAAACCACAACCCTCAGTTGATCTAAGTGTGCATCTTACATTTTCCTCCGAGGAATGTCTGTATGCATCTTTTTACATATGCTAATTAAGATGTTAATAATTATGCCTATTTTGTTGCTATACTTGCATTTTGATCTTTAATAATGGAAATAAGAAAGGCTTATAGTTATTGGTTGCCATCCAAGCTCTAGGTTTTAAAATAGTTGAAAAAGACACAGCAACATTTTGTACCACATACCTGAAAATGAAAAATGCCTGCATAGGTGTAATTAAATCCTTGGTCTTTAGGAATCACATTTTCCAGGAACCGCTGTTGTTGGGTCAATGAACCCAGAGCTGCTAAAACCCAACAGTTGCCTTAAAGAAATGAAATAGAAATTACAGACGTTCTCAAATTCAACTTTATCTAGTGTGTATTTTTCTAGAATTCACAAGAATCTGAATACGAATCCATCTAATGGGCATTGGCCCCTCAGGTTTTTACATAGACTTTTCCAGCCCTGTCTGGACATGCTGGGAAATCAGCATGAAATCCATTCATTCTCTCCTTACAAAACATGTGCTCTATGGTGTAGCATGGTTCTTTTCTATAGTTCATAATGAATTACCTGATATTTGCCCAGTTCTAAAGACTGGCTGTTATTTACTGAATGGCATTTTCCCCAAAAGTTTATCTCTGACTTGGAATCTAAAGTGTTTGTGTGGTGAGACCATGTCCCCAAGTCCAGCTGTTCCATAGGTCCTTGAATAAACATTTCTTGAAGTTATTCCTTTTATTCTTGCTGAAACAATTCTCAATTACTCTGCAATTATTTTGTAAATGGATGCACGTTAAGCTTTTGATTGATATCCTTTATTCTTGATTGGACGTCTACCAATTGCTCTGGAATGTTTGACCAGAATGTCGGTTACAGCTTAGTGTAAGATTATTGTCTTGTCTGATGAATATCTTATCCGAGTCAATCCTTCTTCCCAATTATTTCTTGGAAATATTTTAACACATGATCCAGATGTATATCCATGTATTTTTCCCAGATATGTGGTTTTTTTAGGGGAGAGGGAAAGTATAATTTTCAAAGTTACAAATTAGAACTTACCCAAATGTACACTTCTGTATTTGAAAATAATTCAGAAAATGAAACAGCTTCTGCTGTTCCTCCCTTCTGCTTAAATGTTTAGACCGGTGTTTCTCAACTTTGGGAACTTTAAGATGTATGGACTTCAACTCTCAGAATTCCCCAGCCAGCCATGGGATTTGAAGTCCACACATCTTAAAGTTCCCAAGGTTGAGAAACACTGGTCTAAACATTTAAGCAGAAGTGAGGAACAGCAGAAGCTGTTTCATGGTTTAGACTCTGGTGATGTCAGAATTTATTTATTTTTTAAGTGGTCTGGTATTATTTCATATTCTGCTTATTTTCCTCACAAAAAGAGCCTGAACTCGTCCATCTGTTTATGTAAACCAGAAAAACAAGGACACCTTGGGTGCAGAGTACTTTTTTTAATACTAACTGCCCTGCTGACATTTCTGCCTGGAACACCAGAAGAACACTTAGCTAAATTCTCAGAATGTCTCCCTGTCGCAGGAGGGTTTGAGGGGGGTTGTCAATATCTGGAGTTCTATTAGCTTCCCAGCTTCCTAAAAGTAGAACTGTGGGGGTCCACTCTGAATTCTCAGTTCATTTTCTTCCAGGATCCAAGCTGTTGTTAATTCCTTCCA